TCGAGGCATTTTCTTCATAATTCAGGAGATGGTGAGGCCCGCACGATATCAGCCCGACTCACATTATGCAAGAGGTCGTGTAGGTTATGATCACACGAGCGCATTCCATCATCCTGGAGCGAATCACTGATCTTTCCCATTTTCAAGAAGGGATCTCGCAAAGACTGCGCAAACCACCGTGGAATAAGTTTGATCCCAGTAGTCACCAAGTTAATAGCCTCCGTCATAATTCGACATCTGATTCCTTTTAGGGAGATAAATATCCGCGAACAATAAGCAGGATTTCGACCAGATCGCGGTTGTATCTATCAGATCTTCACGCTGCGTCAGGTCCTCAACCTACGTCCTATGCACCGTCAACCAACGGTTTTCGTGTTCCTTGTCCCAAAGGGAGCCTTTATTTCAGTTGATCGTGAATCCCCTATGGGTTCGCTCCCTCACAAAGGAATGCCGCAGAAGTACGTGAAGTACGTGAGTCCACTCTACTCGCATATTTCTGGTAGCATAAGGGTCTAGGGCGAGCTGATAGAACACACTAAATAGTCTCCAAAAGGTAGGTATTGAATGGGCAGCTGGAGGAAAGCTGCGCGATTAGGATTTCGCTGACAATACCGTTTGCCTGCGCAAATGCATGGAGGATGCCCTTGACTGATTTGCAAGTTCTGTCGCTCCGTTCGGCATGTACTTTGCGCCTTCAAACTGCAAATTGGTGCCACAACAGGGTTTCCCCGAGTTCTGTTCTGAAAGTAAACGGTCAGAAATTAGCTGAAGTTTACTGCTTCACGTACTGAGGCAGCTGCTTGATCAACGACGGTAGCGCATCAAAGGAGATTACCGCACGCATCGAATTCATACCAATAGGCTCCTTTGGTAGGACATTTTGTGTATGTCTGACGGTCGCCTACCATAGCGTACTTTATTTTCAATGGCTGTTGCAGATTGGAGAAAGCCATGTGGAGGCCAGCAAATGACGTGGAGACAAGGTATGAAGAAATGCAGGAAACGATTAGGTAGAATAGGTGTCTCTTATCTTCCGGATTGGGGTCCCAAAGGCTCCGTAACCGCATGGTTGGCGACACTGTAGGTCGTGGCAGCAAACTGACAGCAGTGGCGAGCATGTTGTCACTTCTTATCAGACCAGAATGTTTGAAATAGTATGTTTAGTTGAGCTGTGCTCTCTGTGTTGACCATATAGATTTGCTCTCCTCTCTCGTCCCCAAAAATAAACCCAATCCCTATCCTCAACGGTCCAGTACAGGTCAACAGCTACAGAACGGATATGGTTATGCACCGACCGATTACAGTAATCTGAAATCAAGTATGAAATGTACAAGGATCTTTCTCATTTAATCCAGAGTGTTCTATCGACGGACATCCTATTAGTCGCCGGGGGCTTCAATGCTGAAGTGGGATCTCTGGACGAATCAGAAAAGCTTCTTTGCAAACCACATGCAACCCAACCTAACCGGACAGACAACCGAGAACACCTCCAACTTTGCGCGGACCATGGGTTGTTCCTGTCAAGCATAAACTTCTCACACCTGAAACTTCACCCTCTTATATGGAAACTACCAACCTTTTCACAGCGATAGGCCCAAATCGACCACATCACCATCACTTATCGCTGGAGGGGGGGGGGAGCAATTCAAGACTGCCGCTGTTACTGGTCAACTTCTGTGGATACAAACCACGCCTTGTTATCAGCCAAATTTCCCTTACACCGGGCAAGCAACCGCAAAAAAAGACACTGACAGCAGATACCCACGATAAAATTTCAGCGGTTGTTGCAGGGTGTTGGTGGCGCAATGATTCAGTAGCTGTCACGGGCGTGCTTTAGACCCTATGGTTCGAGGTTCGAGCCCCACCACCGCCACCCGACTTTGGTGTTAGCAGCTTTGCTGTGGTCCGGTTCAATATCACTCCTAACCTATCGGGGCCTTATTTGGTTCGCTTCTCCAAGTCCCTGAGCTTAGTTTGCCGGTTTCCACGACAGAACAGCAGATCCTCCTGGCTATGTGGTTCGTCCTGTCTGCTGTTGATCATACTCAAGTGTGTAATAAAAACAATCGGCTTCTGGAGTGGAACTCTCCGATCGAAGATCAGTTCAACCACCAGCCGAAGGAACTAATGAACACGAAGCAAATCAAGGAGGCTATGCAAAGATCGACAGAAACACCGTCGACTCTGCCGCAGGCTCAAAACACAAACGATAGTTCTCGTCGACTTCAGTTGATCTGATAAACGCCCACGGAACCTTTCCTTCTCATGCCACATGTGACGCAGCAGGCAAATCCCCTTAGCGCCAGCTCATCAAGAATATAACGAATGACCGCGAGAAACTGTTAAAAGGAAAATGTAGAGAGAAAGAGAAAGCTGCATCTATTGGTAATAGACGCACTTTTTTCTGTTTAATTTGGAAAGTAGCCCTCAGTGAATTAATTAGGGAATCCAATGGCACACCGATTCACCACCAGCAACGCCGTCTTGAGCAATGGGCTGAACATTTCGAGGCTCAGTTCAACTTGCCCCATCGACATGTGATCTATCGCCCCCTACCTCGTCTGGGCAAATACGCCCAGTTGATGCCAGTCCTGCGTTTGACATTGTGGTTTCCCTGGAAATAAGTTATATCAAAAGGTATAAGGCCTCCGGCCCAGATGGGCTGTTTCCATCAGCGTTTAAGGATGGGGGCTCAGCGTTAGTCTTGGAGTTGACGAAACTCCTGGGCTCAGTATGGGAAAGGGAAGAAGTTCCAGCTGAATGGTGTGAGTTGGTGATCATACCGATTTACAAGAAAGGTGATAGATCCTCTTATGAAAACCATAGAGGAATTAGTTTAATCAACATCGTCTCTAAACTTCTCGCTGGGATCATACTCCGTTGGTTGTCTGCCACAACTGAACGGTGCACGCATGAGAACCAGGCTGGTTTTCGACCTGGTGGGACTGTATGGACCAAACCACTCTTCGTCAATTTCTAGAACACACACTCCTTTCGTAGGTCCACTATTTCTATCTTTTTCGACCTGAAAGCGGCTTTCGACTCAACTGTCCGCTCCAAACTCTGGCGCCGTCTCGCTCTAAAGGGTGTGTCCGATAAGTTCATTTCAATTTTGTGATCCTTTTATAGTAACAGACGAAGCCAAGTCCGAGCTTCTGGCACTTTTTTACCCGAGTTCACCACGGAAAGTGGTGTTCGTCAGGGTTGCCCTCTCTCTTCTTTTCTATTTAACTGTTATAGATTTATTTATGGAAACCGACCTATCCTCGTGGAGGATATTGGCATCGATTTGCTCCCAGATGGTAGACTCTGATCTGGAGTATGCATACGACACTGTGCCGCTAAGTGAAGATCCCAGTAAGTTGCAAGCTGTGTACCACCAAAGTTGGGTGGCGGTAGTGAGGCTCATTACTCGAACCATAGGGTCCTAAGCATGCCGGTGACTGAGAATAAACCATCGCGTTCATCATAATCTAGTTCCTTTATGTCTTTTTATCGCGAACTATATTGGCGAAATAGCGGGGCAACTATCCCAGCGGATTAGAGCACTACACTTCAACACCAGACGACGGGAAGCATGATTCTCGCTCACCCACAGATTGCAGTTATCAAGGAACGCTTGAATCAGTATTCAGAGTTATCTGTCGAGTGCCGTCTCTTCCATGCAAATCGTCGCATCTCCACAGTCCAGCCCTTACTGAATTAAATGGCATTCGTTTGTTCACACCCAGTGTACAAAACCCACACATACGTCTTCCTGCTTGTGGCATTGGTCACCGGCTTGATCGCGAATCGAGGTGTATTGGGCACCTCAGACGTTTGACTTTGTCCAAAGGGCGTATTATCTGATGAACTGGACACCGGCCCACAATGGATTGCGGTTCTTTCACACCGCCCCGCTGCCTTACGGGTCAGGCTTTGGCTAACCAAAGGCTCCGGTTGTGGATTCCACAAGAAAGTTTAGCTGCCTGGACCTGGTCAACCTGGCAGTATTCAGCCCACATGCAACTCAAAGAAATTAGCCCATGACATCCATGTACCATGGTCACGGATTCGTCGCACATCTGACGTAATACAATGTGATTTCAGAAGTGTAGTGACCTAATGCCGTGAAATTCGTTACAGCAATCTACTAATTTTACATGTCACTTCCCTATGAGATCTGTACAACCATAGACCACTGAAATTTTCCATTTTCTGTTTGGCTCTACCTTCAACCTTCCTGTCTTTCGCCTATTCTTCATCCAAACGGGCAGCCAAAACCGCCGCACGAAGGTGCATGGTTAATGGTTGTACAAACTGAAACTGAACTGAGCAGGTCAGGTCATGAGGAAAATATACCGAAATCTAAAACATTTAGTGTTCTCCAACGCACGGATAATACTCTTGTTATTTTTTTAAACAAGCTTTATCTTCCGTCTCATTTGTCTTGCCAACCAAGCAAATCATTTAAACCCATTTGTTTATCTTCTCCTTTCCTGAACGTTGTAACATTATAAATCGCCATCCTGTTAAAACGAACTGAACTTCTCTCTAATCTTCATCTGTGAACATACTTGTACAACATATTGACTGTTTTGTACTGAGTTGATTATTATTATTATTCAGATACAGAAACGCCGGAGAATCCCACAGAGGAAACGGAGCGGTTCTCAACTATGGTAGGTTGGTGACTTGATTATGTCATTTTATTGACATGCACAGGCGCATTTCCGGCCGTCCTTCTTGCGTGAGCTGATGCAGTTGGTTAAAACTGCGGATCAAGAATTTCACGGACAAGTGAAGGTGGTTCAATCAGACGGACTAGATCTGAATACTTTCACAGTGGAAATCGTCCCCGAAAGAGGCTTGTACGCCCACGCCTCTTTCCTATTCCTCGTAAGTTTCTTTTCACCGGCAAGACTTATGGTACAAATGTGCAGATCACGGTGACTGATCAATATCCGAATACAGCACCGCTTGTTACCTGTCTTACACCGGTCTTTCACCCGAATATTGAGATGTCTATGACAAGGGACAATGTATGTCTAAACATATTTCGCTACTGGGAAAGGTATGTGAGACAAAATTTTCCCACTTTGAGTCTTCTACCCTCTCCCTCTCCAAACCATCCTTTTCCTTCATCACATAGGCATTTCGGCATCAAAGATCTGATTCACGCTTTGCTTTTCCTGTTCTACGAGCCCAACTTTGATGACCCGTACAACTTGTATTGTACCAATCTGCCCATGCCAGCAGAACAGTGCATACGTCACACACTCGCGGGTGGTACAGTGAATTGGGTCAAATTCCCACCAAATGAGGCTTGGTGCCAGTGGGCTCGGACAAACAGTGCATTACCACAACCTGGTGAAACAGCTCCATCTCCGGCTGAGGTGAGTGCATCCAGTTCACGGAGTGGGGGTTGGGACTTTCTACACACGAAACTGATTTTGAGGAATCCTTGTCATGACTTAGTTCACACAATCTATTTGGAGGGGAAGTGTGTGTGTAATAAACAATAAATTAATATTTCACACTTGTCTAAGGCCAGACTGAATGTCAAACAAATCATGGTACAATAATCTTTATGCAAAAGAAAAACGTTCCATGATTGGCGTGTGGACCGAATACTGCCAGATTACCCAGACCAAGGCAGGTGAATTTTCTTGAGGAACCCACAACCGGAGCCTTTGTTTAGCCAAGACCTGACCCGCAATGCAGCGAGGTGGCGTGTGAAAACCCCAATTCATTGGGAGCCGGTATCCAGTTCATCAAATCATACGCCCTCTGGACGGGGTCAAACGTCCAAGGTGCCTAATACNTAGCCGGAGACCACTACCATAAGGAGCAAGTTATTTGTGTAGTTCGTATGCCTCTTGGTTGGTTTGGAATCAAGGTTTTGGCCAATTCCCCTAGGTGAACTGCCAATGGTTCATCAACCCGGTTATAGCCCCAGATGTCGGCCTTTTGTTCTCTTAATTTTGTGAGAAAACTCCTACGCCACGAGAAGGCAGTGCGTAGGGCTTCCTCAGCGGAGGCTATTCGAGACGCTTGGTCATATGGGAGCGTTTCGCGAAGTGCAAGGGAAGGGTAACCAGCCGCAACCCCAGACACCCACCCCCGACCATACTGAGGATTTCGGAGACGTGTGTGTGTATGGAGGGAGGAGTACAATCATTTGATCTGGCGGTTGTTTCAACCAATTTTTGATTGGATAATGTTTTCTCCATAGACTGACGTTTCTCGGTTCAGTTTATTCAGCCTTATAGGTCCAAATTTTGGTACAACAATTTAGATATGAGGTGAACTATTGCCGTTTAATGGAATTATAAATTAATTGAGGACATACCAATGACAGGAAAATGGTAAACGCTTTGAGGTGAGATCCAGCCAAACAAAGTGGTTGTATCCTAATTTATCTATTAGGCTGATGGTCGAAAATCAGACAATTTTTATGCGTACACCTCGCAAAAGAAGTTGTGTTCGTCCACCGTCCGGCCTTGTCAGTACCTCGATTTCCGAGCATGGTACAATAACCGTTTTTGGGCAATCGTAATATGGTAGTCTGGTATAAAGAGTAAATGCGAAACTTTTGTTACTCCTATGGAAAGGAAAGTATGGTTGAAAGTGACTAATGGGCCATACTCCACCTAAGTTCGATCACATCAGTATTGCGTCTAGCTGCCGTTCCGTTTCACAACCTCGGCACATCTTTTGGGTATACCGGATGTGAGATTTTGGAGCCCATCCTTGTCGACAGAAAGCAGTGCCCGTTTTAGATAGCCACCTAGTTTACCCCGTCAGTCCATTTATTCTCGAATGGTAACGCAGCCCGGCAATCAGGATGCTTTAACTGTTCTCCGTTCTGTCT